ATGACGAGATTGGGTCTTCTTACTTAAAATAGATCTCTGTGCAAGGCGTAATTCCCTAGTACCCAACAACACATTTTACGATGTGTAAGAATAACACTTCCTTTTATAACTCCCTGATAAGAATATGTCGGCTTTACGAGATATCTATGAAAAACTCCGGTTTAGATATTTTTGATCTAAGATCCAGAACATTTAGTAACTTACCTAGCACTTACATAGGTGTTTATACCCATACCCTTGTCGCTTTTGTAATAAGTAAATAAGTATATTAATAAGTAAATAATTATAATAATATATAATATAATATAATAATAACGCACACACTCAACATAGCCCCGCACTAGGGAAACCCTGTGTCGCGGGTGCCATGGACACACACATAGACAAACACAAGTTACACCCAAACTCACGAGAGAAATAAATGTAGGTCATACAAATATTTCTCTCGGCCCGGGAATCGAACCTGGGACCTCTGCGTGGCAGTCCGGCATGGTAACCGTTCGGCCACGGAGGTAGTTAATAATAAATAAAATAATTAGTTATAATAATAAATTTATAATAATAAATAATTATAATAATAAATAATTAGCAAATTATGAACTGTTGTAACTGACATAAGTAGGATCTGGTACAGAAACTTGCAAAATAATATTTTCTTGTATTCCTCTAATAGTGGGCTTTAGTAAATCTGGTCTTGATACAAATACAATTTCACTGAGAGAAAGTTTAATAATTCTGCAGTGGCAAAATTAGTTCATACACGTCTTTTATTTCCAAAAAAACTAGAGGGCACAGAGACAAAAAAAAACTATAGACTACAAAAATACTTTTGTTTAGCCATAAACATATATTATTATAGTAAATACTCCTAAACAACAACATAAAATTGTGCTTGTAAGACATACTACAGTCCACTATGAAAAGAATGCAATTTGATTCTACCAATATAATTTTATTGTTATCTGTTTTGTTGTCCATATAATATATAAGTAAATGTCTTAAAGTAATATTATATTATTGCCAATATTCAATATTTATAGAACCTCGTCGGTAGACTAACTCTTGTGTACGTCGAGCCCAAAAATGTCATCCAAAGTAGTCACAAAGTTGTAATGCTAACAAAATCACCGATGAATTTCTACAAGAATGGTGACTTGGCAACGTTACTACTTAAGATTAAATCTGGTAGCATTCAGCAAGCACCTGGTGCACCTGGCTGCCAAGTTTTCTCCTACCTTAAAATATGTTTTGTTCAAATTTCTTCGCACCTTTTCTTAATTTTTTTACTTACGTTATATACCTTTTAGTGTAATAAGGGCAGCACGAGCTTTGAATAAGCTACCTTAATAATGATAATAATACTAAGACTGTAGCTAATGTTAGTCAGTAAAGACGCTTATTGCTTGTTTTCTAATTACGTTTTCTTAGTATTCAGTCAGCACTTATTTTCGTCTTACTGTTTAGAATATTTAAAATTTCAATTACATGCTAAATGTTGTTTACGGTTAAAAGCTGCAAGACACGTAGCTTTTTAGCCGTGTATAAACTTTTTCTACCATTTAGATCTTTATTTAATTTGCTTTCTTTTTGGTTAGTGCCTCGGAAGTCAGTGTTTCTCTGGTAATTGGCGTACATTACATGTACTCTGGTCGATGACCTCCGTGGTCGAGTGGCTTGCACACCGGCTTTCATGGTGTCGCCTCCTGAGGTCTCAGGTTCGATCCCCGGCCGACTCAATATAGGAACCAACTTTTATATTGACCTGGATCTGGGAGTTTGTGGTACTGTTGTTGTTTTCGATTTCTATAACACAAGTGCTTTAATTGCTTACTTTTGTGATATTGTCTGGCATGGTAATAATATTTGCAATTAAGCCTTTTTTTACTTAGACATTTTGTGAAAGTAATCCACTAGTTTGTCACTGAACTAACTGACAACAAAAAAATTCCTTCCACCCGGCTGAACCAGGGACATTTCCGCCTAACGCGGGCTGTCACTCTCCCAACTGCGCTACGGAATATCTCTACGCCTTTTAACATCTTTGTATCAATTATAATCAAAATAATCCTTAATATATCCGAGAAATATAAAAACAACTCATTGCGCTCTTAACACCAGAAATATTATCCGTTAAGTTCATTTCAGTGTTACAGCGCAGCCGGTGAGTAATATTCAACAAGACAAGTTCATTACAAAGATAAATCCCGACTTTTGACTTACATAGATGCGACCAAGTTCTTATAGAATACAGACTTCCATAAGAAAGACTTTGCTATAATGTAAAGTATCGTTAGGTTTAAAATTTCCGTTCCATTACGATGTAGAGATGGAAAAAGAATAAACAGCGCATTTGCGCACTATATCCAGTTCGTATTCTTTCCAAATCGCCGTTTGTGCACTACGTTCGATTCAAATCCGAGACAATACGAATTTCGCTTGTACACCTATAGATAAAAATTGATCCCTGAGACATTCGGACCGTTATTTCTCGAAATCGGAAACTGATACGAATCGGACGTAGTGCGCAAATGCTCTTATTGTATTTGTTTGTTAGCTTTTAAAATTTTAATTCAGTTTCATCCATATTTAATAGTCATTAATAATAATAAATAATAGTCAATAAGTTAATAAAAAATATAAACGTTTTGAACGCTTTCTTACATGAAGATCCACGAAAGTACAAACTTATACAAAATTACATTATTGGTTTCTGAGTTGTAGGGTTTTTAACCAAACTTTCGGATATTTCGGCGTTCGTAATTGCATAATAAAACTTTGTTCGAATAAAAGCCCATCCCTAGTCGGAAGTCCATTATTCATTCAATGCAAATGTATGCTTCTTGTTAATTCTAAAATGGAGAAGCGGTTACAATGTGCGTTCCGAGTTTTGGCTCACTATGTTGTTTTAGCGTTATAAATTTCAGGCCGGATTAAGTTTTGGGTGCTCGCACCCACAGGTTTTTACACGATATTGCAACATAGTATGAATAAATTTATAGGATTCTCAAAGCATTTCGTTTATGATTTTGTTCTGGCAACGCAGTAATATATTATAATTTTTTTTCTGAAAAAAAAAATTGGGGAACGAAACTTTATTGTCATTTACTGTAGACATTTTATATTTGGTGAAGCCTTAAAGGATGGAAAATTAAAATAAAGGGGTGAACCATCCAAATAGAGGTGTGAATATTCTACTAAACTTCACAATTTTAACATCTGTATCTCAATACAAAGCACTAAATATCAAACACCAATATCTGGTAGGAAAATTTACATTTATTACATATCGTAAAATAAGAAACCGCAAACCGTTGCAAACAATAAATAAGTTCTGCGTTATTCTCAAGAAAAGGCAAAAGCAATCCGAATACCAAGGACAAGTACAAGAAAAACCACTACTTCTGTTAACAATTTAAAACGTTTGCAAAGTCCAGCACTAAAATTATGTACTAATGTGTGCCTTCTTCGCTATTTTTGTTTCCATTTCTTGGTCGATGTAAGAACGGTACGGACTAGATTGACGGACGGACAAGTCGTGCGCCTGATGGTAAGCGACACGCCTGTCCATAACAGTTGTAGTGCCGCTTAGAGCTTTCAATAGCAAAGGTCTAAGGGGCACTACCACAGCGTCCGTCATCCTGAGACATAAATTGATAAGTCCCATGTGCCTTTAATTTCCCCAGCAACCTTACACGAATGCTCACATTTTTGCTTGGCGGCAGAAATAGGTGGAAGTACTTTCCTGGACGAACTCTTTCACAAGGAGCTCTACTCCTACTAAATGATCTGCGTGATCCTAAGAGTTATGTGTAATTTTTATTGATAATTTATTAAGTAAACCAGTACCTGTGCTATTGATCTGTAATAATATTTCTAATTGAATAAGTATAAATAATAAATAAATAATAAATAACGCACACACTCAACATAGCCCCGCACTAGGGAAACCCTGTATCGCGGGTGCCATGGACACACACACATAGACAACCACAAATTACACCCAAACTCACGAGAGAAATAATTGTAGGCCATACTACTATTTCTCCCGGCCCGGGAATCGAACCTGGGACCTCTGTGTGGCAGTCCGGCATGGTAACCGTTTGGCCACGGAGGCAGTTAAAGTTAAGTATGGATTGAATATACGCCTGTAACCATACCGTGAGACTTTAATTCAAGATTTTCACCATCCTGGATCCTATGATGATGCAATTCCTTATAATGAGTCATCAAATATAAAATTTGAAATCTGACATAGATTTCAATGTGTCTAAATACAATGTAAAGGAAAATTGGATAGAAACCATATATCCCAATAACCACGGATATAGTTATTGTGTATCGATGGCAGATTTCCTTTGAATTTACCAAAACTACATTGATTAAATTGAGACCATTTTTAACCATCGATCTTCAACCCACGGTTACCATTAATTCGTATTTATTTTTCGAAATAACGTTTGTTCAAATGTTCACTATTCCGAAAACCGAATTATAACGAAACCGTTCTTCTTTCAGGATATGTTGGATGTTTATCGCAAAGACACGATTAGGTTCGGTTAGGTTAGGTTAAGTTAGGTTTAAAAGAAAAAATATTTTCCTCTCAAAATTACTTTCGACGTTATGAAAATTCGAGCAACAGTTATTTCTGGAAAATGTCGTTTCGGATTTTTGATAGATAACCTCAACCCACAAATTGTACGAGTAGTACAGTTCACAAAATTGGCAGTTCAATGTCAATTTATAACTTTATCATTAACGAAAAGTTCTATGATATAATTGTAAATATGAATCATCTTATTACATATTTTCTAAATTACAAGAACACAATGTATATTTTCTGATAAGTATATTACGTTTATAGCTGTCTTAGTCTCATAGTCTAAGTCTCATTTAATCGACCAACCAATAATTAATGGTCGTAAATGTAACGGAATGGCCACGGAATCTTATTTCATTTTACGATATCTCTCTTATTTAACAATAAATATCTTTGTCAACAGACGTCTAGATGGCGTCTCCCATAACCTCAAGATGATAAATGGAAGATACTCAGCAGTAGCATCAGTGACTCTTCGGGACGCTGATCTACCTTCGCCTGCAGAATTCATCTGCACTTTGAGGATACCACAGGCTCAGTACGCTGTGAGAAAGGAGGCTATTTATTATCCAGGTAAGGCTCAATAATGTACTAAGTCATTTAGTATTTTTTGTTTTATCTACTAGATAAACACGGGGTTGGAGTGCGCAAAAGGAGCTTCCTCGCATTATGTTCCTTCCTTTCCCGTATTTCTGGAACAACCTGGGTAACAATCGGCTAGTACCTTACGCCAATTGGCGAATCGGTTCACCACGATGCCAATCATGTATGTATGCAGTGTATGCCATCGATACGATACGAAGAAGACTATACAAGTATTTGTTTTAAATATAGAATAGAAAAACGCTAGATCATAATTCATAGCACCCTGGTGCTAGAGACAATGTCACTCGCTAGTCTATGCAAGAATGTTGTTCTATACAATGTATTGTATAATTTCTGAATGAGTAGTGAGTCTGAATTAATGTATGATTTGGTCGTTTCTCAAACAGCACTAACCATCTTTTGAATATAATTTATCAGATTTATTAAGATTGGCTCGTAACGACAACGTGGGTATTGCTAAACCTGTGGCAGGGATTTTCTTTTTTTGTTATGTCTTCAATGATAAACAGATGAAGTAATTTTTCGGAAATTGGTAAAATAGATTTATTACAATGTTATTTTTCTAATTTCGTCACTTTATTATTTAGGGCGCGATATGTTATCTAGGATAACAGGATAAGTAAGACTTGATACATTACGTTGAAATGTAGCATATTCCCGGGGTGCGGTCGGGACAAGCACACTATTGTTGACCTATAGGAATTTATCCAAGGTTCTAAAACTAACGAAGGAAACCAATACCAAGTTTTAACATTGATCGTTTATTGATCCGTTTACAAAAGTAATAAATGCATCTCTTAAGTATACTAGTATTACATGAACCACGCGGGGTTACTACCCTACTTGGTACTTGGTGTAACGGGTTGGTGTCCGCAACTCGACGTCAAGGCGTCTATTTTGCGTGTGGAAAACTAATACTACCCTAACTAATCTAGTGACGGCGGTGAGCTAAAGGGGTAGGTATACGATTGAAAGGTGAACAATTCGCACGGCCTGGACACACCTTGGTCACGCGCAGCAATTGTTTCCCCAACACAGGACGCAGACAGGGGTGAAGGGTGAGTTATTCGCATGGCCTGGACACACCTTGGTCACGCGCAGCACCCAACCTAGGAGATTGACGGGGGAGGATAGTCCCTACGAGGGAGTGGAAGACGAGCAATTCGCACGGCCTGGGCACACCTTGGTCACACGCTGCAATTACTCTTTAAAAGCCCCTCACCCGGTGGAGGTTCTTACCGTAGCAAGCTCCCCCAACGAGTGTATCGCTCGCTCCGGCTGGCGGCCTTTTATAGTCCCGTCTCCGCTTTCGGCGCGGGTCGCGCGCGCGTCTCGCGCCCGCCGTCGCCTGCGTCGCTCGCACCGGCATCAGTCAGCGGAACTTTCTATGACGCACGATCGGCCGGCGCTATGGCGAGTCGCGCCCGGTGCAGCGCGTCACAGTGTAATATAATAGTGTATAGTATAAAACTGCATTATATTGGATTTCTACTAAGAAATAGTTTAAAATTATGTTTCTAAACTAAAGGATTTGTAGATAGTGATAAAGATCAGTATTTAGCTTGATTGAAAAAGGGTTAAAGATGCTCCAATAAAGATATGGTTCAGTGGGTTATCTTGCCCATTTAGGAGGGACGATTGAGCGATATAATGTCGTAATACGGTCATTGATCCGTTGCCTTTATTAGGGCTGACAATGGCTTGACCAAAAATTTATAGGGCATTTTAAATTTAAGGGCCATTGAGGTTCCAACACATTTTATAAATAAACATAATAAAGTTAATCTAAAATAAGTATTAAAACATAAACACAAAATATATTGACAACTTTATGAAAGTTTAATATCCAATTTATTCGTTCGGGAAATCCTACAAGATATTTTCGACGAAAGCTATATTCACGGAAATGGAAAATGCTAAGCTAAAATGCAAAGTCTCAGGGAATATTTAGCTTCCACCGTTGGAGAGGACGATAAGAGGCGAAATTTCCCTGATGACTGCCCGTTGCCTCCGCCTTTATTAAAAGGAACAATTTCGGAATAATATTACTGTAACACAATGATAACCTACCCGTGAATACCACTTCCTATTCTTTTTCAAAACAGACAAAGAATTAAAATGAGCGCGCACAGGATAAAACGTGACGACGTAAACAGAAAGCTGTTTATTTATTTAAAACAAGCAATTTAACCGCTTTATAAGTCGACGAACGTCATTAAAGCCGAGAAGTGGGAGCGAAAAGAATAAGGGATTTTTTTCTAACGGAGGCATGAAAATAACAATTCCCCGGAATAATTTGCGAGAAGGCCATTTAAGCTTTTTATCAGCAAAAAGTTTGTGTACACAGCTATCTAAACTGTAGGAGAGATGAGATGAAACATTTCCTGCAGGCAGTCCTCGTGAATAATTTTATGCTTCGTTAACTCCATTGCGGGAGAAAAAAAACGCGTTTAATAGAATATTGGGTAAGGAAACAGCAAAAACATTTTCTTTAACGTGTCTCTGCTCGGACTATATTACTAAAGAAGATACGGTCGTGGACGGGCTTATTATTATATTACTGCTTGTCCATGCGACATTACTATTTCATGCATCGTTGGATTAACTATTCATGCTGTCGAAAGAGGTCTCTTCATTACATTATTAAATTTTCGTTGTCGTTTCAAGATCAACTGAATATTACCATTTGCTTTATTATTTATTTAAAGCATTGATTTTCAATTATGATTTCCAAGCATACAATAATCATGAAACGGTGTAGGCAATACAAGAATTTTGTCCATGATTATGGATATCTTTTACTTGTTTTCATATTTGCAATCGCAGGTTTCATGTTCATACATTTTACACTACACAATTTCACTTTCCTGAAGATGAACTTTTCATACTAGAAATATAGCACGTCTTAGCACTTTACGAAAACTGCAGCTGTGTTCGCAATCACGTTATAACTTGCGCAAAGTTCTTAAAATAAATTGAACGAGCTTAAAATGCCTTCAGGCGATCACTTTTAGTTCCTCTAATGAAAAATCAACAAGTTCAGTAGTACCTCTATCGCTTTCTAGTTTCCTTTCTCAAATGCATTTACGTTGGACAGAGGAAGATGGATTAATATGATAGATCGAGTTTTTCTATATTGACGTGATTCGTCTCGAAGAAACGGAGGATAATTCTCTTTTGACAAACTATTCAATCTCAATCGGGTTATTGGACGAAATACAATAATGTTGATTATGTTTGTACTAAGAGAAGGTCGATGTGTTTTCCCCATCTACGCACGTTCCTAGTTTCTTCCATGACAACGAAAACTTTTACGGTATGAAAAATATTTTGTAGTTCATCTCTTAATTCCTTATATTCAGAGGCCATTTGTAAAATACTAACAAAGTGACAGGGCTTTTGTTACTAAGTTCATAAACAACAACTTTTGTTCCATGACTTTTAATAATTCATCAGATTTAAAAAAAAGGCTGATGGTTTGACCTACTGCCTCTCAAGCAGAGGGTCGTGGGTTCGAATCTGGGCTCGCACCTCTGAATTTCTCGAAATTTATGTGCGAAATTTATTTATCATGAACTTTTCGGTGAAGGAAAACGTCGTGATGAAACCTGCACGTCGAAGAAGGTTCACAACGTAGCGGACTATGGCCTAAACCCACGTCTGGATGGTGACCCGTGCTCAGCAGCGGGACGTATAAATGGGTTGATGATGAAATCAAATTTTACTTTCGTACAAAAATAAAAACAATTTAATAAATCTCTCTAAACGGTGATACCTCTGTGCGGTAACAAAAAAGCGGTAGCGTAAATACCAGTCCGAGGCAAAATGCAGGCCCTGGGGTGGCGGACTTTGGCCTTTGCATGTTTGAATTTACTAGCTTAGTAGCAAATACTGGATCTAAAAAGTGCCAGATAGTACAAAAAAAACTTGAAAGTAACAATAAACTTACTTTATTGTCTTGTAAAACGTCATGGAACAAGAATTATTGTTTATGATGATAGTAATATAGTCCTGCGAAGTTTTTAGTATTTTATAACCCTGTATATTCATGGGCAATAATTTTGAGCCAACTTAATTTTTAATTAGATCACGAGAGATTAACTAATTTCTAAATTATTTCCTTTTTCCATAACTATGTGTTAAAGTTTTGCGTAATTGTAAACATATTTGGAAAAAGACTTCTCCTCCTCACTGTTGAGGATCGTGACTTTGAACAAGTACACCGTCAATGTTTTTCTCCACTAGATTCTGTTTTCGAGTGGTGTGCGACATTTATGGGTACTGGCAGATTTTAACCATTGTTTGTAACTTCGTCCTCGAGGTCGTTTGCCCTCTATTTTGCCCGTAACAATTAATTTTTGAATATTGTCAGTGCTTCTGCGTGCGATATGGCCAAAGAATTGTAGAATGCGGAGTAAACAGACAGAGGATAAACGTTTGTGATGTAGCAACCGCAATTCCTCAAGTACGGTTGAGACCTTTCTGCTATTTTGTTTTTGAGGTTGAACATTTATTGAAACTGTTGTAAATGTTATTATGTTTTATTGAATACTAAAGTCATTTATTTAAACTTTTTGAGCAATTTTATATTATGTTAATTTAACAGGAAAAGGTACAAGTATTTTGTTAAACATAATCCTGAAACTATAAATTTAAGGACTTAAGGAATCTCTACTAACTGAGCTATCATTGTCAGTCAAGTTGATTCTCATTATATCGAGTTCTTAGCTTTTCGCGATTGTTACACATAGGAAATGTAACTATTTTTCCGTATTTAAATCGCGTATATTTGTTTTTTGTTGACTGACAGTCAACCGTGACCATGGGATCTGTAAAGGGCCCGAAACGTCGGTTTGTTTGAGAAAACAAATATACGCGATTTAAATCCGGAAAAATAGTTACGTTTGATTCTTATTATAAAACCGATAATCGATTGTAAACCAAGCACATTCTATCGCTGTTACTGCAGACAACATTGTTGGAATAGTTCGAAGCGTCGCCAAGGAGCAAACATCGAATAACTGACTTTATAGCTGGCTTAGTGATATCATTGCACAAGAATTTGTAGTGTTGGAGAACGGTACTAATTTCTAGCAGTTTCTATTAAAGAGTTTATAGAATGTATTCATTTAAGAAATTTGAATTCTACACTAGCGACACTAGGGGCTCGGTACAATGTTCCATATAAATATTTTGTAAGGTTTGTTTACCATATAGAAATTCCCTAAAATATTTGATCCTTTTCACTGGGAAACTATTCAGCAAGCGATCACAAGAGTTAATTTAAAAAATTAAACACATATATCAAGTAGTCGCTTACTGCTATCGCCAGTGCAAGCTCATGAATTCATTCAAGTAGACTCTTACATTTTGTCGTTTTACAATCACATCTACAGTGCTTGTCTCTTCTAATATAAAGTTTTTAAATTTCGACAGTTTTCTAGAATATTGGCCTATCTGTTATGTATCGTGTTACTAGTTCGACCCGTCATTTGAAACTTAAACCACCTAGTTCATTGGGAAGATGTTTAAAATCAACTGCAGAATATCTAAAATGCAAAGCACACTAATCCTATACAGGCTCACGTTCTCATATGACTATTATAAACAATGAAAAGCTCGGTGTTTTTTTCACAATAAAACCTAGTTCTTTCTCAGCCCAGCTTTGTAGTAAGAAAAAAATGGTCTATTTTAGTTTAGACCGCTATTCCCGAAAAGCAACGATTTATACTTTCTGGCGTTTAATTTATTGATTAATTACGTCAATTGTTTATGTTTTGTTTCATGTATTTTGTATTATATTTATGTTTCATGTTGTCAGGTCCAATAAGCACCACTCCGGAAATGCCAACGGCTGCCGATATGCAGTTAGCTGCGGCTGTTGGTTCAAGAGGTAAGTGTTATTAAATTATTTAATTGCATTAATTTGTAAATATTGTACTTCACTCGTTTATTTTTATTTCTATTTTTGTCCGCTCGGTCTTTTTTCGTTCCATCATCTACGCTCACCTGTCTATTCTTATTCTTAAGAGGATTGTGACGCCAGCGTTTGCATACACGAGCAAAAATGAGGCAATTTTGGAAACTAACGACCTGACTTTTAAAGAAGTTCGTTACTCGTATATGAATATACTTGCCGATTGCTATTTACATTTTCTTATGATGCTTTATACATTCTTATTCATTCTTTTATTCGGTACTCGGAAGACAACTGTTATTTTTTAATTTTATTGTAAAATTTATCCGTAATGGAAATTGATAATACTTATCCAATTTCCATAGCTTTTAAGGAGGTGTCGATTTCACTCATCCAATTAGTGAAGTACGAGGAATGAAGCGACAGACCATAGCTTCGGGATAACATTTCAATTTAGAAACTTGTTAATTTGAAAGTCAAGATATTGTTTGTTACATCATCTTGCTCCTATTTATTTAGGGTGTGATTAGATTTTTTTCATTCAACTTTGTCATCCATTTTTTTTTGTAGATATTGTAAAAAAGGTTTACTGTTCCTTATATACCATTCAGTACATATATTACGCAACAAAGCGTTTTGTTACTCAAAGCAATATTCAAAACAGTGATAGTCTAATGAATGATAGATATATTTTACAGGATATATCACGGAGAGTGTGCGATGGAATTACACGATTTAATTCCACCTTCCCCTTTCCATCATCGGAGGACTAGGCGTAGGCTTGGGTCCCCTATGTTGTGGATATTCCAAAAAATCGCACGAGGAGTTACGCTTCCACATTTATATGGCGAAAGGCTATGGAGTGGAATTACCTGCCTACAAACTTGTTCCCTGAACGTTATAACTTGGACCTTTTCAAGGCGAGAGTGAATAGGCATTATTTAGGTGTGCATGCTCTTTCGTCGACCTCATCGTCACTTTCCATCAGGTGAGATGGAGGTCAAAAGCACACTTACATTAGAATAAAAAATGCCACGTCAGACTCGAGAGCTTAAAGCAACCTGGCTTTCTTATATGCTATGTGCTAAATATGGTTTCCGGTAGTATCAGTTTAGCTAACGAGCTTTTCTAAATTGGTTCCGTTATCGGAATTCTTGTAGTAGTCGTTTCATAGTTTGAGAGAAGGCAGGGTTAGTTGATACACAACAAAAACAACTATTAGGCATCAAGTGGTAAATTATGACCGTTACCTATCACTTTTCATGACAAAACATTGTTTTTTCATTCAAATTATGTTATTTGATTGAAAAGTTAATCAAAATAAGTTTTTTTGTTTCAGGAGCAACTATCTACTTAGCACTCACAACCATGTTGCTGCCTGCTTTAGCTCAAAATTTAGTGTCATAAAAGGAATTAATAAAAATAATCAGGTAAGAGTCATTCAGACATTTACTTAACACTTATTAACTTAAACAAAAGTTTTCTTCATTATTCAGATTAGTTTTTGGAAAGACTTTTGAGACTGTCGCTGTTATGAAAGAAATTATATCTTTTCACAGAACAAGTCCCAAGGGTAGAAGCAACCTGAACACAAACAAGTGAATAGTTATAGACACCTAGTCGTAAATCCAAAGCTACACCTAACCAAATATTCATTCTAATCACAGGCGTTTCACAAGGACTTGTCTTAGGTCTTTAAAAAATTATAAATGTTCATGCAAAGGCTTTTGTGTGTACTACAGTAAATGATTGCGTGTTAAAAGCTGAATATTGTCGTAGCTATTTAATTGTACAGTTCTACGATAGATTATCTATTTAAAATGGTTTTTCTGAATAATTAATCAATATTAGTGAAATGTGTAAATAGATGTATTTCTTTAAAACAAACTTGTACAGAAGATTTTTGATGTAATAATATGTAGGCAATGTTCGTAAACACATAGATTCTCTCTTTAGAAAATGACGTCATGGGAATGTCCATTTTATTCTGACCCAGTTTAAATTAAAACAAAAAAAGGAAACTGTTTTCAGAAACAATATTAATAAGACATGCTTAAAATCTCCTGACGTCACAAAAGAGGTATTCTGTGCATTTAGGGACATTGATATGACTTAATGAAGGGCCTAAATGACATTTTCTGATTACAGAAAAAAATCATAGAATCAGATTTAAAAATATGGATAAATTGGAAAATGTCAAATTAGGTATATTGTTACCAATTATATTTTCATTAGTTGAAAATGTCTTAAGCTAGTTTCTCGACTAATGAGTGAAAACAAGCAACACACGCTATGTGTAAATTAACAAAACGAGTTCTGAAAACAAACTTTACCCTTGTCAAAGTTGATTACCTGTTTCGAAATTGATCTTATATGAAAGGTTCATACACATTTGAAAATGAATAAAACTATAAAGCAATTGATGAAAGCTTGTGACAAAATAGTTTTGTTACGGAAGTGTACCATCTGCCTATTTATTTTTTAAACTATTCATTCATCAAAAATTTTCAATATAGAGACACAATATATATTACAATAAAATGTAATGAAACAAATCTTTATTGTCAGTAACTTATCACGAGATATACGTACAACCTGTACAAAGAAATTTAATTTAAAATTTATTATCGTGTCTTTTCACTAAGGGTTTGCCCCTTTGCTAACAGGGTATCAAATTAATTAATTTGATTTCCAATTCATCGTTTGATATGAATTTTGACAATATTATAAATGTATGTAGCGTTTTTGCCCTTATTCGTAAACCTATTTTATTCAACTTCATATTCTTTATCAGTGTGAATCGTAAAATGTTAATTTAGATATAACTCATACTGCACTGTGTCACTTTTTATAAATGATTGCACCTTGGGAGTTTCAGAAAAAAAAAACAATTTATTATCCTATTTAACGGGAAATGTTTCGAAAATTTAGTGAAAAATGAGCTTGTTTACCCGACTTTCTATTTTATACTTCAATGTATTTATGCTTTCATTAGGTATCATTAGCGTTCTGAAAGAGCACGACCGTTATACAAACACTGCACTGATTAATTACTGTTATTAGTCCTTGCAGATTTCTTACCACGGTATGACTTTTTGTTGTTCTCACGATATGTCGGTGCCGTTGAAAAGAGGGTCGGTAATCATGGACCGCAGAAGAGGGTAGACAGATATGTCTATTCTTAAAGCTGTCAACTGCCTCTCGCTAGCCAACCCGAGACCACGGAGCGTGAAATCGTCCCAAAATATGGGAGAAAACATGTAGTTCCTACCTTTGTAAGAAACCGGCAAATAATGATAGGTAATCATTTGATAAACTACGGTGATTGTTATAAATTTTAGTACAAGTTTTTAATATATTTTTAAAATAGAAAACCTTTTGTGAGTTCCAAAGTGTCAGCACTTTTCATAAGTAACTATAGAATAGCTTGGTGTAAATGTAAGGAAAATTCGTTCATGAATAAGGGCGATTGTAAATATTTCTATGGAATTTGTATGACTTAAAACTTAAGATAGCATAAGTTCTTGTTGTTGTAAGAAAAATAATAATACATTTGCTGTGCATACTGCCGTTTATGGATAAGATCCAGTCAAGACTTTTATTGTGAGATTTCTTAAAATAAATAAAAAGATCGTTGTGTATTTTGCATTTTTATTATATTTCAAAATAACTTTCAAGTTTAATAACGAAGTACATATTTTCGTACTTCACACTAAATAAAGCCACATATGCAAAACGACAACTTATCATAATAGAGGTTTAAAGATTCTGCAATGCCATACAATTTCATATACACTGAATTTGTTTCATGTAGTTCGTGTTATTTTTATGATTTTCATGTGATAAAAGCAATTTTTTAAAGTGAGGTCATATTTGGCTTTATTATATGACTTATTATTTTGAAACTTGCGTATTAATCGCTCTGAGTACTTCAAATTTTAAAGCTCTATATTCCTACAAAAAACAGAAGTGGAAAATGACGGCCAATCAATGAAAAGATGTTTCACGGAGGCAATCACAGCCATCAGCAGTAACAGACCCAAAGATAATAAAAATAACAATTGAAGTCCATTTTGAACATGATTACGCAGTAAAGGTCTAATGAACCGACGACATTTATTAAAACGATCTAGAAATCCCTAAAATCCTCCGAAATCCGACCCCATTTTGTACTTTTGTGACGCAGTTTTAAAAATATATAGTTTGCAAAGATATAAAAGTAAACGGTATGAGAGATAAGCAAAAAGCATAAAAATATTAAAATAAACCAGAAAAACTGAATAAGGTACATAGAGGAAATGAAACTATTTTTCTGGATTTAAATCGCGTATATTTGTTTTTTCAAACGTCGTTTCGTGGCCTTTACAGGTCCCATGGTCACGGTTGACTGAGGTGGTACAATCTTCAACCAGTTATGTCTAATATTAATGCAAACCACCCTATTTTTCACTGTAGTTACAATAGTTATTAATTATATACCTAATTTTACAAAGTTAAGTTTTACAAATTATTTTATGGAATGAATTTTTATTAAGTTCAATTTATTATTAATTAATAATAGAAATTGGAATAAACTAAAACATATTAATTAATACTGCAGTCTTATGTCTGGAATTTTTCATCCTACACATTCAATGAAGTTTGACAAACCTTACAAAAGAAGTCCGTTATTTACCCAGGATGCTGCGAGAGGTCATTGAAATTAAAAAACATCCTAATTTCAACAGGGAAGATGGTTTCTCCATACCACCAGTTTGGGATCCAGTATTCCTCTGATGAAAAACCCCAAACAGACATAAGACTGCAGTACTAATTAATATATTTTAGTTTATTCTAATATCTATTAAAATTAATAATAATTTGAACTAAATAAAAATTCATTCAATAAAATAATTAGTAAGACTTAATGTAGCGTAAATTGGAATGTTTTCTGTTAATACTTTACTATTGAGGATTCAGCTACTTAATGAAATAAAATGATATGAAAACCTTTGGAGCGTGTATTCCAATTGCTACAGTGAAAGGTAATACGTGTGAGCACGCTTAGCTACGATGGCGGAATGAATCGAGTGAGGGGCGCGCGGGCGGCCCAGCTGCGCCGGAGTTCTTTTGCGTTAACATTTTCTTAAATTGGAATGTTTTGTAAAATTAATTTAATAACTATTGTAAGTATAGTGAAAAAATAGGGTGATTTGCATTAATATTAGACATAACTGGTTGAAGACTGTACCACCTCAGTCAACCGTGACCATGGGACCTGTAAAGGGCCCGAAACGTCCGTTTGTTTGAAAAAACAAATATACGCGATTTAAATACGGAAAAATAGTTTCATTTCTGTGTGTAACAATCGCAAAACCTAAGAACACGATAAGGTACATAGAATTGTAAAGTATTTGGCAAAAGGACACAAGTATCCTAGTCAAGAACTTAAAGGCAGTCAGGACTATCTTTAAGATTCCAAGCACTTCTTTGATGGTGTTGTAACCACTAAATTACAAATTTTATTAATGTCAACTGTTCTCGTTAATAATACTTTCTTTTGTAACATAACCCACGAACTTGCTACCAACCTCGTTACCATCAATACCTTGTCTTTTGTGAAACTTGATCCAAAGAGGGTAAGTGTGCCTGCTCCAGGAGAGTTCGCTTGGAACTATTTTTGTCCATAATCATTTTCAAGTTCTCATTAACAAGAACTGATTTATTAACAACTGCTCTTTTATTTATTAAACTTTCGACGAATTTACAAGTACGAACAAGAAGTTGTTCAAGGTTAATAGTTACATATTAAGTTAAAATTTATCACATAATATTTTTTATTGAATCACAATTAACAACACATTGAAATTAACATCCTACCAATAACTAGTATGATGATAAACATATTGGAATGCAACTTGAATTTGTATGTTTTTTATAACAAAGAAATTTGCTGTACTTGGGTCTTATATTTAATAATACTAAGTTCTTTTTCTTCGCGTTTAACTATCTCTATTTTACCAAACCCCATGTTCAGCCGTGTGAATTGCGTTGTCAGTGGCATTAAAGACCTCGTCTAGCGTGCTGAGTACTAATTAACTTGTTGGTGCTCATAAACTTGACTGTCGTTTCACACGAGTTTTATAAATGTTATATTATATAGAGATAAACAGATAAAACTAACAATAGCAAATGCTATATAAAACACTAAGTTCAGACTTAAGTTAATTATTATTATATAATTAAAACAATGTATCGCAAAATACCAGACAACCTGATTTGCTTTTTGGTAATGAGACTAATATCATTTTAGTAACAATAAATGTCAAGATGTTGATGCACGACATTAAAATCTCGTTAACAGCTGTTGCTAACAAGATTCCAACTGTAATAGACCAAATTTTACTGAATCATGTATACTTGTAAAGACGACGAAATAAATGTTAGTCACTCAAATTACACTTGAAATCATCATATTGATTAAACTTTGCTGCTCATTGGTAAGGCAGATTCCCCTGAGAGGAATGAACATGAAACTATAGGAGTTGCTCTTTGTATATATACATTTGAATACATTCATCATTTACAATATTTATTGCAACCATCTTACATAGATAATACTAGCAAGAGCTAAACAGGTAACTACCACGGATTTTTGTCATCAAAGTAGGGGAGAGCGGGGCTAAACGTTCCGATTTTCAAATAAGTTGAAGTTTCATATTGAAAATGAAGGATTTGACTTTCAACAAGTGGAAATATTGAACAAATGTTTAT